TTGATAATTTTCTGGGTTTTTTTCCCATCACTTTTATATGACAAGGTCCTTCTCCAACCATAGTTAATTATCTATTTTTTTCTACTTTTAATAGCTTAAGAAAAATGCTTAATTCTTTAATCAGCTGTGCTCTAATATGATGAAGAATATATTTTCCCGATTTCTAATGTCAAATTTAACCATATATAAACACCTTATATTTCTGATTTCCCTTCTGATCTATTTATTTCCATTCATATATGTCTCTTCTTGTATTGATACTACTCTATTTTAATAATCATTGTTTTAAAGTATGTTTTATATTTGATCATTTGTTTCATCATCTGGTCATTTTTCCCCCAAATATTTTCAGCTAGTGCATTTTCTCTTAAGGATAAACTTTAGAGTTATTATTAATTTCCTTACTCTCTAAAAAAAATCCTACTGGAATTCTGTTGGGAGATATATTATACTTGCAAATTAATTTGATATGAATTAATGTTAGTTCTGTCTTCCAGTATTATAACATGATAGTTTTCTCTATTCAGAAGTGTGTATGTGTGTGTGTCAAGTTTTACATTTGATGATAAACCTCACATTTCATTTTAAAGTTATTCCTAGCTTTATGGTTTTGTTGCTAATCAATTAAAAAGATTTTTCCATTATATAGTTTAACTCAGTTTTACTAGTATGGTTTTAAAGATATAATTGCTATATAGTTAATTTATATCTATTTTTCCTATTTGACCTAGTTAGATGATATATAATACATTTTTCAAAATAAAAAAAACTGCATTCTGGGGATAAATCACAGTATTTGGTCATGTTAAATATTCACTGAATAACCTACTGACCTGAGTTAGTCCCTGAAGCTTATAAACCTTACTTGCAAAAATTGAAATAGTCAAAAACATTTTTGGGAAAAAGATAGCAAGTGGTACATATGTTTGAGGCACTAATTCTAAGAAGAACAGATATGTAGGTCATTAACATTACAGATTATAACTAATATAGCTAATGTACTCTTCCCCTCTTTTTCTATATTTCTTTGTTCTTCCAAACTGTATTCTGACACTCCTTCAATGAAGAGACAATAGAGAAACAACAGCCTAATCTTCTCTTCTAAGCATGACAATTTTAAGAATAGGAATGAAAATGTATATTCCTAATTCAAACACTGCAGAAGCTTGGTTTCTTTACATTAATTAATATGTATTCTCACTAAATTATCAAAAGCACCTCATGAAGTACAAGTAACAGGTATTCTGTAAAGCAAGAAAAGAAGAAGCACAGATAATTTCCAAGAACGCTGGGTCCAGATCCTACATTCTTCCTAAAAGAAGCTATGACCCTTTTGATGCTAAATTGGCTCAGGAACCAGGAAAGCTAATTTGTTAACATTCCCTTAGGTAGAAACACGAAGATTGTCAGTATGCCTACTTCTGGAATAGTAATGCAAGTCCGAAGAATAAAAGGACAGGGTTTAACAATTGGCTGTTTTATCAGCTCTGGCAGGACTCGACAGGCATCTGGGTTGTTTTTGTTTTGCTTTGTTTTGTTTTGTTTTGTTTTGTTTTAGGAAATCAAAGGCCAGCAAAATGCCATACATCCTCTCCCTCCATCCAATCAAGTTGTTTCAGGAGGCATCTGTATCTTTAAGTCAATAACTTATTGTGCACATATGTGAGTGTATGGTGGTGATGGTGGGTGTCTGTTCTCATAAATCACACGAAAAGCAACAGGTACATATTATTATCCTCGTGTCACAAATGAGGAAATTGAATCTTAGAAAGCTTTGAGAACAGTCCCAAAGTCACCGAACCACTGTGTGGTAGACCTGAGACTTGAACCCAGGACAATCAGATTCCAGGACTGCTATGTCCCACCACATCAGGTATTTTTGGTCCACCAGCCCCGAACTGTTTCCATTTCTCTTCTCCTTAGTGGTCTCTTGGTCAGCTGTGGGTATGTAACAAATCTGGCCAGAGAGATTTTAAATCTGCTACAGGATTCTCGGAAATGTGTTTGCTTTCTCAATGGTGATAATCATTCCTCATGCCCCTTCTTCTTTTTTCCTCCAGTGTAATGGTGAGAACTGAAATAGCCATTATGGAACCATTAGAAAATTGCAGTAACTTCAGTCTTGACAGAGTTGAACTGTTGAACTAATGGTATATCTGCATATCTCTAGATTTCTCTCGTTTCAGAATAATAAATTTAAGTCACTGTATTCAGGTTTCTGGTTACTATCTAATACAAAAACCCATTTAATGCCTTTTCCTATAAATATTTCTTTGCCTAATTAACATTATAGTTTCAATGTTCTTCTGTTCATCTAAAACTGCTTTATTCATCCCTTATTTCTTAGTATTTTTGTGCAAGTGTAATCTAAGTATGACCTGAGTAAACAGCATGTAGTTGGGTTTTGTTTTCAACTTAATTGGAGAGGATATTAGGTTAATTTCAATTATAAGTCTAAAAAAACAGTAACTGTAAGACTATTTCAACATCATCTAGGAAGAGACAAATATATATCATCTATAAGTCTGATATTGAATATAAAACAATCTAGGAATATTTCATTAAAAAATCAACAGCATAGTTCTTCATGGAACATTAGTTACCTATTAATTTCTTGCCTGATCCAAATCCTTCATAAACCCACTGGTGACCCTGACAGAATAAGGGTGTTGGCTTCATCTGGAAGTTAATAGTATCCAGGCGAATGATGTGATGTAAAGGGGCTAATAACCTCCAGTGGCAGCTATGGAACAGGTGGAAGAATGTCAGAAATTATTTCTAAACAGCATATATTGTTATTTACTTTTTTAGAATTTAATGCATCACTTTTATTGACTTTTAGTGTGCCTTAGTTTTTATATTTACTTCTTTGTGCTGGGCTGAAAGATTTCTACTTTAAATTATCAAAATTAAAATTATTCTCTAATATTTAATTCATCAAAAAGTTTAAGTAAATTCACCTACTATGGTGAATGGTTGGTCAATCAGGTGAAATACTCTAAATTTGATTGGCAATCTGTAAGAGTTAAGAACCTACTCTTGCCTGAATTTGCCCAAACTCCCCCAGATCACATAAATTTACTTAGGATTAATATGATATAAATCTTAACTTTTCATTTCTCCCTTTAAATATATTCTATTGTTTAATTCAATAAAACCTCTCTTTCCATTATGGCAATTTAAGAACCACATATTGAATACCTACTAGGTGCCAGAAGATTCTACGTACATTTTTCAATCTCCAAAACTCTTTGATAAAGCTCTGACTTTCCACTTTGCCTGATAAATAATCTCTTTTGTTGAAAAAGTACTATTATTTATCAACAGGGATAATTTACAGTAAGTTTTTGTATACTGAAGGCCTCAGATCAGGGATTATCTCAAAGTCTATTCTTTAAGGAGATAAGGTGAAAAATAATGCTTTAAGCAAATATCAAGTGTTGCTACTTGTCAAGTAATCATTTACCTACTTCTTTCATCATAATAATTTCACCTCATAGTGATTCTATGAAAATATTTTGGGATATGTATGGTTCCTACTGGTTTGGTCAGTATAACACCCTTACAAGTGGTCACATGCCCTTGGTTTGCACTCTGAAGAAGTCTTGTTATTTTACTGCCTTTTGGATCTAGAAATGAAGAAAAGGGAATGAGAATAAAACTAATTTGCCGCGGTCCAGCCACGACAGGATCCAGGGGGCCCCGAAGGTGGGCAAGGCGTCGGTGCGGGAGATAGTCGACTACACAACTCAGAGGCGGTGTGACACTGTTCTGTTTTATTGTGATTTGAGTACAACTTTTATACTTTTTATTTTGGCATTGGATTATACTTTGTAGTTAAGGTAGCAGGGAGTTAAATTTCTGTGGTTAGGCGAAGCAGAAAAATCTTCTAGAGTATATTATTATTAATGTTCATGATTAACTAGTACATTTTTCTCTCAATCATTAGAACAGAACTACCTGAAGGAACAATCTAAACTTTTAATTCTTATATCTATTACGTAAGATACAGTTTGATTTAAGTAAAAGTGATAGATAGATGTATTCATAACAGCAAGCACTGGCTTGTAGGCAGACATTATTCTTCTTTCTGCCTGAAGAAATCTTTTAAATGCTATTTGATTTATGCTATATCTAAAGTTCAAGCTGAACCTTTCTCATAGCTGTTCAAAAGTTTTCTTGGTGCTTTAATGAGGAAAATATTTATAAAAATCAGTTTTACAAAGCTGCTTTCATAAGCTAAGTTTCTGTTCCTTTGTTTTTTAAGCACTAAGGAGGTCCTGACCTAGCCAGCCTTTCTATGAAACTTAAACTACTATAAGGCACATGAATTCCATCTTTATTCACTATATGTATACTATCTTTATTATAAGCTCCTGTATAAGGCAAAGGAAGATCAGGTAATCTTTTCATAGTATTAGCCCCCCTAGGTGGATACCAGAGTTTTCTATTTATCCACTAGGCCACAAAAGGAGGCCCTTCCATAGTAGGCACAGGCTTATGCGTAAATTTCTTATCCTTTACTAATTTTTCTAACTGCGTGGGAACAGGAGTATAAACTGGTTCTAGTAATTCAGCTTGTTATAATTTATTCATAACATCTTTAAGAGGCACGTCAAAAGGAATTTCTCTTAATAATTGTTCAAATAAAGGGTTTATGCATTCTGGATACGTCAGGGTGACTAGAGCTGATTCCATACGTGGGGAATTTATTGTTTTTTCCTCAGAGCCAATTTTGAGGAAATCCATTTGTACAGTGTTTACACTTACTAGAATTTGTGCTACCCAAATTCCCCCTATTAATAGGATCGTTTCTAAGAAACCAATTATCCCTAAACATATGCCGCATCCTCATTCTTGACGATGCATTCCTTGAAGCCTCTGTCCCCATCTCCGGACCTTGTCACGCAGTAGGGTAGAAAGAGGACACGGCACTAATTTGTTACAGAAAATAAGTTAACGGGAGGTCATTAGTGTCACTGAATAGTCTTTATCTGAACCATTCAAAGATACAGAAAAGGAGTACTTGTTAGAGTTATCTTTGGCATACCCTAGGGTCTGTGGAAGGAAATGTGGGATAACTGTAGATAATGCTAGTTTCATGCACAATTTCATCTGAAAGCAACATTCTTAATATAGTTCTTCAGGAGAAGACTTTCATATGATATGCATGCTTTTCTTTATTAGTCACTTAACTTTTTCCCCAATATATTTTTGCAGTGCTTTTCAGTACAAAGAAGAAAAACAAGTTTTCAGTTACCTATGCTCATCAGGAGTCAAAAAGCCTCACTAACTACATGTTCTAAAATGCAATCTGATCTAAGTTGAAATTGCATAGTTTACATTTATAATTCTAGCATCTAATATTTGTGTAGTTTGTTTCCAAAATTCATTCTTTTATTATAATATCACTATAAAGAAAATTCTGATACAGAGATAACAAAGTGTCCAGAGCTAATCGGACAGCTAGGATTTAGAACCCAGATCTTCTGATCCACAAGAATTACAGATGCAGAAAAGGCTCTCTGTGATGTAAAATCACAATCACAGTCAAAAATGTTATTTTGCAGCATATCATGGCCATGTCCAGAAATCACAATTCTGGATGATTTACAAGTTAAGCAAGTTATCCACTGAGCAGTTTCTCTTTTAGACCTGATCAATCTCAGATCACCTCAAACATAAACTCATTCCCACTATTTCTTTCAAAACAATGTATAATTTTTGAATATTTCTAAAAAGAAAAACATTAGTTTTTAACTTTATAAGTTAATAAAATGACCAAACATACCTTGGACTCTAAAGACAATATAACTTATGCCAAAAGCACCTTGCACAAGGGATTGAAATGTCACCCTTACCAGTGGTCCAGAGCTCATGAAAATCATTGGGTAAAGCCTTCCTCCACATAATTTATCTAGATTTAAAAAGAAAAAATCAAATCTATGAACAAGCCCAATCTCATCTGATCTCGGAAGCTAAGCAGGGTCGGGCCTGGTTAGTACTTGGATGGGAGACCACCTAGGAAGACCAGGTGCTGCGGGTGTAAAAAACAAAAAATAAGGGATTGTAAACTGACAAGGTCCTTGCAATCTGTGAGGTCAACCAAGGGTTGCCTCACCTAAAAAATAAAGAAAAAGAAAAAAGAAAATCTGGTAAAAAACAAGAACTCAGATTTTTGAGCAGTCTCTCTATTTTACATATAACATTTATTTTTATGTATTTATTTTTATTGAAATATAGTTGACATGTAACATGGTGTAAATTTAAGGTATACAACATGTTGGTTTGATGTATTTACATACTATAATATTGTAATTGTAGCAATAGCATCTCTACCATATCACATAATTATTTCTTTTTTGTGATGGGAAAAATTAAGATCTAGTCCGTTAGCAAGTTTGATGGTTATAATACAATATTGTTGTCTATATTCACTATATTGTGCATTATTAGATCTCAAGGACTTATTTGTCCATTAGTTACAAGTTTGTACCCATGAAATAGGAGTTTATTTCACTCTCCAATGAGGAAACAGGGTTCCTGAACTCAAGTGACTCTCCCAAAGTCACAGACAGATGGGCTGAGGAGTCAAGATTTTGAATTTGGGTCCACAAATCCAATACCATCATATTCTACTATATCACCTTGCTCCTTGAAGGACAGTAGATAGTAAATTATCTTATCTTTAAGATAATGCTGATATGCCATTTTCTCCTAGACAATTAACCTATTTATTAAAAATATCTCACCATGAAGATTCATGATGGAAAACTTTTTCTACCTGAAAACTTATTCTTTCCCCATAGTCACTCGTTTTTGATTGCTTTACTTTGAGAAGCTTAAGTCAAAGATGAAAGGAAAAATTATAACCATAATTCTAAAAACAATTTAGAGAGTTGATTAAAAACGCGTGGAAAGAGTCTGTGTTTCTTAGAAGCAAACTCATTTACTGTTGAGAATAATTCAGTATCATTCTGCAACATTTGTTTAAAAGTCGCATACTCAGAAAGACATTTGCAGCTTATGCTACATACAACTATATGGTACCTACCTCCCAGACACTACTTCTCTCCCTTCCCTCCTTCATTTTCCCTCGTTCACCTAATATATGATGTATTTTATTTTATCTTATCATGTGTCTTCTCCCTACTAGAATATAAGCTTAACTAGGGCAGGGATTTTTTTGTTCATTTTGTTCACTACTGGAGCCCCACAACCAAGAAGAGTCAGTCTCTGGTCTATGGTAGGTACCCCAAAATACTTGTGGTGAAAAAGAGAGTGAGGAGATTATATCCAAGAAAAAAAATTAGTTCGCATAACATATGTTGGTAAATGATGTTGAAATACTATTTGAAGAATGATCAGACATTTATTTGTAGCAAGTAGAGATAAATGCAGCTCTTGAATGAATTGCTGGATTCCACAGGGAAAAAAATAGCATTTTACAGTATAGAAGAATACTATCCAATTTGAGTAAGAGGTAATGTTTTCAGTATTTCAGTTCTGCTAGCTATCATTTGAAGAGAAAGAACAGTTCTACAAGGTTCAAGATGACAATTTCAAATCAAAGAAATGCTAGGTTGGAAAATTATAGTGGTTTCCCAGTTAGCCGACAAGAAAGTCAAGCATGGTTTTCAATAGGTTATAATGATAAAGGAAAGTTTTCCAGAAAATGTTTCTTTCCATAAGAGAATTTAGTATATAATAAAGATAGAGCTATAAATTTAAGAGAAAACAGCTTATTTCTTTAAAGAAACAGGTATAGCATCACTTTATAATATAACATTTATAATATAATAAAACATTTTAGCAGGATTAAAATTTTTAATTAAAAATTTTTCTGAACTCAGAAAGAATTTTAAATATAAAAGCAGTGAAATAAATTGAAGATCAGAGATATGTATGGATAGATTTAAACAAATAATTTTTTAAATGTTTACATCAACAAGTAATAAAATTTAAAGGCAAATTACAACCTTACGAATAAGCACTTACAACTTATGACAAAGGAAAAATATCTTTATACATAAAAGCTTTTATAAACCAATAAAAAGAATACTCAAAAAAAGGATGGAAATGACAAGAAATAATACAAATAGCTAAACAATATATGAAAAAAAATATTTATTCTTCATTAATGATTTTTAAAAAGTAAAAGTGCCTATTCAATTGATATATTAGGTGATGGGCATGGTGAAGGAGGTACCCATATATTGCTAATAGCAGCGAAAACTGATTTAGCCTTTTTGAAGAGTATTTAGCAATACACATTAGGCAAAAAATGTTCTGGGTCTCTAGGCATTATCCTAATTTGGGGAGCTATAGAAGGAAACAAAATAGCAAGATCTCCAGAAGCCTTCATTTTAGTCAGGTAAATGAAGACGATGAATTCAAATAGAGACCAAGGCTACAAATGAAATAACCAGTATAATATAACAGAAAATGATTGTAGAATAGAATAAATGGTTCTACGTCAGACTGACAAAGCCTCTTTGAGGAAGCAACCTTTCTTTCCTTCATTGATATACTAAATGCCTTCTATGTGTCAGGTATTATTCTAGGCACTGGGGATTCTCGAAGTGAAGAAACAAAAGTGTCAGCCCTCAGGAAGCTCACCTTCAAAAGGAAAGACACAGACAAACCAAAAATATGACCAAAAAAATCAAAATATGTTAGGAGACAAGTGCTAAGAAAAGAGCACTGCAAAGTACACAGGTAGGAGGTGACACAGTTTACATTGATCAAGGTAGGACTCATTAAGAAGGTGACACTTTACTCAAGACTTGAGGTGAGAGACAAGGATGAGAAGGAACTCTCTGAAGAGCCGGAAGTAGATGGACAGGAACCTCAGCCCGGATCATGGTGAGCTGGGGGAAAGAAAGGAAAAAGGTGGCACTGGGGTCTGGATTTCATTCCAGCTACAAGGAGAAGTTTTAATTCAGGGGGATGGTAAAGGTGATCTGATTGTAGGGGATATGTGTGCAAGTGGAAAGGCCGGTTAATAAATTTTTTTTCCTAAAGTCTAAATAAGGCAGTATTTTTAAAGAAAGATTCCTTAAACAAATATGTTTGTGCCTTCTAAATCAATAATTTAATCTCTCACCCTAATGTAATCCTAAAACAACAATCTCACCTTCAAAGCAATTTCTCTGGTCTCCATATTCTCCTGAATCAAGCACGTGAATATGTGTGTGTACGATACACATTCATAATAACATACACAAACTTATTTTCTTTCCAGGTTTCCCCATCAACCAAATTATTTCTGACACCTCTCACTTCCCTCTTTACTGAGAGACAAAAATCCTGTATTACACCTATATACAAACAAGCGGTGGTAAGTCTGTTTTGTTGACTGAAAACAGGTTTGCCTGTACATGAACTGAAATGATGGCTGGCATGTTAGTATCAAATCTTTTTAATTCTGAAAGTTTCAAAAGCCTTTAATGTATTTCGCTTTATTTTAAAATTAAACACGCCTAATCCCCTCTCTCACCACCCAATTTTCAACCATTTTAATCCCTTCTCTATCACATACACATTTCTGGGATTCTGGTGTGGTTTTGGTACGTCTGAAGAAGTTGGGCCTTCCTTTTTTTTTTTTTTTCCTTTTATGAATATACATACATACACACACATGCATACAACCTCTTGCATCCTGTTTTGTAAAATCCAGTTTTGAAAATATTAGGCACGTCTAAGAAAAAAGGCATGCCCATTACATGAATCAACATTTTGGTGGTATCGTTACCAAGTCAAAGTCCCTCTTGATCATAAACCGCCTCTACAGAAAAGTCTCCTAGCACAAAGTTTAAGCACCAGTAAGGATTATCTGACATTCTTATCTCACCATGGCTTTCTTCATATATAGTCAGAACTGAATCTAGACACATACGAGATCCAGGGAGTGACAGGTACTCAACAGTAAATTTTGCCATACTTCTTGGTGAAACTCTGAGCACCCAAGAACATTCCAGTTTTCCTCTATAATCTAGTGGATATCTTGGAGTTGAAAAAAAGCCTTTGGGCTCTCTTCCAGCTCCACTTCAGAGTAACAGCCTACAATTCAGAACACACAGACACCAGGGACAAACATAAACAAAGGAAAATGAGGTTCTATCACAATCTTGAGAAATTTAGGTTTACAAGAAGAAAAGTAAAACTTTATTACTATTGGTTGCAAGTTATTGGGTAAAAAAGACCATTCCATTTAATATCTCCTATTTTCTTAAAGTGAGATTATGAGTAGAATTTAAATATTTTTTTTAAAATTACTTTTAACTGAATTTTTAAATCTCTTAAAAAATGCACTACGGATTACATTCTCTATTCCCAGCATGTTTTCATTTCTTTCTTTCTTTGAGATGCAACTGAAGATCTCAACCTAAAAGCTTCATTAATTTAACTGAGTATTTATCCTGCTGGGACAAGTGATTACATTTATGGAGTTTGTGAATGAGGTCAAGAAAAGGAGAATTTATTGAATGTACTTGAATGTCTCTCACTTCTTTGACTTGCTCTTAAGTCCAAGGGCACCTTTGGACCTGTGGGGATACCTGCAGTGCTTCAGATGCCAGTAGCTCTCTGGACTACTGACCCTGCAATCAACTTCTCCTTCAGATTATACCCTTGACTCTTCCTTCTTCTCCTATGTTTATTCCCTTGACAAAAATATATTGAGCAATTACATATTAAAATACACTGTACTCAAATGAACAAATTTTACTGTATGGGTGTTAGTTAATTAACACATGTATTATATATACTCTGCAATAGAGAAATTATAATTGCACCAAGGAGATACATATATAACTATATTTTTATAAACAATAGAGATGAAGAGTGGCAGAAGGGAAATAAAATGCTACAATTAAGGATTCTACTCCATTGCCTAATCCTCTATTATTTCTTTGCAAATTTTCTTTTTCATTACTATGATCTAATTTAGATATTAGGTCTACTTTGATTTAATAGTAACTTAATAGATTTCTCAGTCTTTAATCTTTTCCCACCATGCCCTCCATTCTGGGAATAGTATATGAAACGAAATTAAGTTCTTTCCATGCTCAGAGCAACTAAAGTAGTACACCTTGCAAAGTTTTTCAGAGTCTGGCCCTAACATGTCTTTCCAATCTTTTCAATCTTTTTTCCTCTCCACGTGAATCTCTATGACAAATCTGCCCGGAAAGTAGCCAAATCATATAAAGTCATGAATTCCCAAGCAGTCACTATTTTTTATAAATGAGGTAACAACCTCAAAAAAACAAAAAACAAAAAAACAACAAAAAATCCAAAAAAACAGTTAAGATTTGTCAATTCTCTTGTATAAAAAGCGAGTGGTAGAAGTGGGCGCATGTTAGGTATAGCATAGTCCTAACATTTTAGCTCATAAAACAGTCATAGAACTAAAACTAAACAATGCCTATTCATATGTAAAACTGAAAAAGTTCTTTGGCATGCATAAGTATTGCTGAACATAAACATATTAGGAATATCTTCTCTATATTTTAACAATGCTAATTTTCTAATAGTCTGAGACAGTTCAAAGAATGCATTAGATGGTCACTACCACCACCACTTATTGACCCTTCTCATTGGTCATGCCATCCTTATTCTAAGTGCTTTACATGTATCAACTTACTGAGGCACTCACTGAAATTATTCATTTAACTCAAACCGTTGAAATCATTAGGCTTTAGGATCTTGCTTGCACCTAAGTGTGCCACCTCAGACCCAATTCGATTTCTTTTAAATCTAAATTTCACTCTTTGACTCTTGTTTTGATTCTCTGACTCTTGTGTTTTCAGATTATACTACCCACAACTTCCTTCTCATTCCTAGATTTTAGCAGATATTCTCTCTGATACTCTTCCTCCCTCAAATCTTGCTGAGTTCAGTAGCCATATAGATGATGATTCCAATTTCCCAACTTTCCTCCACTTGACCTCAGCCACTCATCCCAATGGTCAGCCCCAAGATATCTAGTCATTTGCAGAAATCCCAGGCCTGCCATAATCTGTTTCAAGTACCACTCTAACTACAACCTTCTGTCTTTTCAGCGTCCTCCAACACTCCTTCCATCTTCTGAGACTTTTAATTCATCTACTCCTTGTCCTTGTCCCTAACTCATCTCTCATCTTTGCTTACTCTTCCTAGTTTAAATTCCAATGATCCATTGTTTAATTCCTTTCTCACACACACTCTCAATGTTCTTATAGTCTCGCATATTTGGGATAACCCACGCTGATTGAATCTATTCTCCACCTGCTCTGCATCTATGTGATATCCCTCAATGTCTTCAGAGGAAAACATAAAATTAAGCTAACTGGTTGGTCTCTGTCTAAATTTATAATCATTAATCTCAAGAGGCTTTTATGCTACCCGATAATCCTACTACATATTCCTAGTCCATGTTCTTTGTCATTTTTTAAGAAAACTATTTTATACTTTCCTCTGAAAACTCTTACACCCTCTTCCACAACCCCTTGTTTCATCTGCTGAGAAAATGGAAGCAATTAAAGGAGATCTTCCAGAAGTTCTCATCCTCACATGTACTCATACACCTGCATCAGTACCTAAGTATTCTGCCTTCTATCTGGCAATAATGGATAAACTGTGCTTTGCTCCTAACTAAGCCCAATCCCCACGGCTGGGCAGTAGATCTCATCCCTTTCATCTACTGAAGCCATCACTCTAATAATTCTCTACTCCTCTCTCTTGCATCCTGTTTAATTTTCCTCCAACTCATCCTAGCTGTCTACCAGGGTTGAGTGTATGTGGGGGTGGGTGGGGCAGAGATGAGTGAAAAGGGAAAGACTCTGACCATTTGGAAATCAAGAATGATGATGTCATAGAACTTTCATCTCCCTATAAGTCTATTACAGATTTCTAATTCTCCAACTTCTGTTTGCTTTAAACTGAAAATCAAAATCCTATTAGTAAACACAGACTGACAATTGTGGGAGAATTAAGAGAGGCACTAACCCTGATGGTGGTCTTGGTCACCTCACATTCAGAGTCTTTACCTAGTAAGGTATCTGGAAGTATAAGGACCTTTGTTCATGTAGAAATATATAGCTCAAAGGTCAGAAAAATTCTATGCACTTCTCCAGATTCAGGCACCTACAAACACTGTATCTATGGTGTAGAAAAGATCCCCAATCACAGTAACAACTCTTTTAGCTTAAATTACCAACCAGAATGAAAACACAGAGTTTACAGTGTTCCAAAGAAAATAAGGGAACTCAAACATGCAATGCCTTTTGCTAAATTCTTCCTAGCTGTCATGGGATAACATGAATATCTGTTACCTAGCTCAGATGCACTGTCTGTTGAAGCTGTAAGTGGTGACAACTGTTTTTTTGTTAAGGTTTTGCTTTCATTATTTATTTGAAGTGAAGCAGAACTTGTATCTAGAGAGAACATGTTAAAAAAAATAAAGAAGAAAGCCTGAGGACAAAATGTAGTCTGTACCAAAGTAGCTTTTGTTAAAAGAGAATGCAAATCTAAGATGAAAACGGCTTCAGAGTTTTACCCTAACTCTGTCCAAGGGAGAACTTATTCTTACAGAATTTTAATGTTCATTTTAATGTGTTTAGAAACTAAAATAAATAAAACAATACTTTATGGTCTTCTTTTTTATAATGCTGATAGAAATCTAAAGAAAGAGGCATTGTTTTCACAATATCTGAAAAATATTTACCTTTGAGTTTGGATTGGATCCAGTCCAAGAAGACACTCACTCTGGCAAATACAACTGGCTTCCTTGACTGGGCACAGCCAGCTCCCCAGTTTATGATGCCATAGAGGACAAAGGGATCTTTTTCATGTCTATACACTAATGGCCCACCAGAGTCTCCCTGAAACACCAAGGAAATGTGTTCTAGAAATTTACTACAATCAGAGCTCCTGCTTTTGATTTTGGAACAGGAAAAAACAATAATTTATTCATAATACATTTAATTTTTAAAAGATTGTTCTTTGTCAATTTGTATAACAGATTACTTAGACTCAAATAATTAAAATCACAAATGAAAGAGGAGACATTACAATTGATAGCACAGAAATACAAAGGATTATAAGAGACTATTATGAACAATTATACATCAAAAACTGGATAATCTAGAAGAAATACAGTTGCATACCACATAACGTTTTGGTCAATGATGAATCATAATAGTGGCCCCATAAGATTATCATGAAGCTGAAAAATTCTTATCATCTAATGACAATGTAGCCATACTAATGTTGTAGTGCAATGCATTGTTTACATGTTTGTAGTGATGTTGATGTAAACACACCTACTGCGCTGCCAGTCATATAAAATGATAGAACATAAAGTTACAGTAGTAGGCTATACCATCTAGGTTCGTGCAATGATGTTCACACAAAGACACCTAATGACGCATCTCTTAGAATGTATCCTTGTCACTAAGTGGGTCACATGACCTAGAAACATATAACCTACTAAGATTGAATCATAAAGCAATAGAAAATCGGAACAGTCTAATATGAGTAAGGAGATGGAATCTGTAGTCAGAAACATCCCAACAACAACAAAAAAGCCCAGGACTAGATGGCTTCACTGATGAATCTACTAAACATTTAAAGAATTAACTCTAATCCTTCTCAAACTCTTTTAAAAAAAATGAAGAGGAGGGAACATTCCAAAACTCATTTTATGAGGCCAGCATTACCCTGATACTGGAGCCAGATAAGGACAGAAGAAAAGAAAATCACAGGCCAGTATTCATGATGAACATAGATGCAAAAACCTTCAACAAAATACCAATGGTTCCCAACTTATGAGGGTTTGACTTATGATTTTTTGACTTTATGATGGTATGAAAGCAATATGCATTTAGTTGAAACTGTGCTTTGAATTTTGATCTTTTCCTGGGCTAGTGATATGCAGTATGATACTCTCTCTAGCAATGCTGCACAGTGTCAGTGTGATAATATTGCCCAACTGTACACTAAAGTGTTCTGACACATTTAAGGTAGGTGTATTAAATGCATTTTTGACTTGATTATATTTTTAACTTACAGTGGGTCTATCAGAATGTAATCCTATTATAAGTTGAGGAGCATCTATGCTAACAAAATGAATTCCAAAGCACATTAGAAGGATCAAATGCCATGATCAAGCGAGATTTATTTCAGCAATGCTAGGATGGTTCAATATATGCAAATTAATAAATATTATATATATATTAATAAAATGAAATTTAAAAATCGTATTATTATGGTTAATAGTAAAATGGTTTTGACAAACTGCAACCTCCTTTCATATAAAAACTCTCAACAAATTGGGTATAAATGAGACATACCTCAACATAATAAAAGCCATATATAACAAACCCACAGCTAACATTGCACTTGACAGTGAAAGGTTGAAAGCTTTTCATGTTAAACAAGACAAGGAACAAGACAGGAGTGCCCACTCTGAAAATTGTTATTCAACATAATACTGGTATTCCTAGCCAAAGCGATCAGGCAAGAGGGGGAAAAAAGGCATCCAAATCAGAAAGAAAGAAAGAAAGAAAAGAAAGAAAGGCAAGAAAAAAAGAAAGAAAGAAAAAGAAAGAGGACTGTATTTGCAGATGATATGATCTTATATATAGAAAATCCTAATGATTCCACCAAAAAAAAAGTTAGAATTAATCAATAAATACAGTAAAGATGCAGAATACCAAATGGACATATAGAAATCTGTATACACTAACAACAAAATATATGAAAATAAAAGGAAAATGATCTTATGTACAAAAGCGTTAAAGAAAACAAAATACTTAGGGATAAATTTAACCAAGGATGTGAAAGATCTCTTCTGAAAACTATAAGACTTTGATGAAAGAAATTGAATAAGACACAAATAATTGGAAAGATATTCCATTTTAACAGATCAGAAGAATTTATAATCTTAAAATGTCCATACTACTCAAAGCCATCTATAGATTCAATGCAGTTTATATCAAAATTCTAGTGATATTTTTTCACAAAAATGGAAAAAACAATTATAAAATTCACATGGAACCACATAAGAATAGTCAAAATAATCCTGAGAAAGAACAAAGCTAAAGGCATCAAACTTCCTAATTTCAAAATATATTACAAGTTCATAGTAATCAACACAGTATGGTACTGGCATAAAAATAGATATATAGACCAATGGAACTGAGTCATGAGCCCAGAAAATACCTTCACATATCTGATCAACTAATATTTGACAAGGGAGCAAACAATACTCAGTGAAGAAAGGACAGGCTCTTCAATAAATGGTGCTGGGAAAACTGGATAACCACATGAAGAAAAATGAAATTGGACCCCTACCTTCCACCACTCACAAAAATTAACTTGAAATAGATTAGACTTAAACACAAGACCCCAAACTGTAGAAATCCTGGAAGAAAACATATTCGGAAAGTTCCTTGACATTGGTCTTGGCAACAGTTTTTTGGAGATGAAACCAAAAGCACAAGCAACAAAAGCTAGAATCAGTAAGTGGGACCACGTCAAACTAAAATGTTTCTGCACATTAGAAGAAACAATCCACAAAATGAAGAGGCAAACTATGAAACTGGAGAAAATATTTAAAACCACATATCTGGTAAGAGATTAATATCCAAAATATGTAAAGAACTCATACAAATTAATAACAAAAAATGCAATTTAAAAATGGGCAGAGGATCTCAACAGACATTTTTTCCAAAAACGACATATAGATGGCCAACAGGTACATGAAAAGATTCTCAACTCCCTAATTATGAGGGAAATGTAAATGAAAACCACAATGAGATATCACCTCACACCTGTTAGAAAAAAGACAAGAGACAATAAGTGTTGGCAAGGATGTGGAGAACAGAGAACCCTTGTGCACAGTTGGTGAGAATGTAACTTGGTGGAGCCACTATAGAAAATAGCATGAAAATTCCTCAAAAAAAAAAAAAAAAATAGAAGTACTATATGATCCATATGATCCAGCAACCCGACTTCTGGGTGTATTCATCCAAAGGAAGTGAGAACAGGATATCGGAAAGGTATCTGCGCTCCCATGTACATTGAAGCATTTTTCACAATAGTCAAGATATTGAAACAACCTATTTTTCTGGCAAAGACAGCAAAAGACAGACACTAGATGATATTACTTATATGTGAAATCTAAAAAAGCTGAACTCATAGAAACAGAGCATAGAATGATGGTTACCAGCAGCTAGGGATGGAAAAATAGGGAGATGTTGAACTTCCAGTTATAAGATTAAAAAGTTCTGGGAATCTAATGTACAGCATGGTGGCTGTAGTGTTGTATTATAGACTTGAATGTTGCTCAAGGAGTAGATCTTAAATGTTCTCAGCATAAGAAAGAAATGGTAATTATATGAGGTGAGGGAGGTGTTAACTAACCTTAATGTGGTAAGCATTTCACAACATGTGTGTACCAAATCATCACATTGAACATCTTAAACTTACACACTGTTACGTGCCAATTATATCTCAATAAAGCTGAAAAAAACCCAATCCTTAAAACGCAGGATTTTACTTTTTTAAGATAGCCTTTCTGATTTTTAATCAGCCCTCCACTTTTAACACAAATGTATTTAGGACCAAACTAAATTCTTAATTTGTCTTCTTATAAAAAACACTAAGCTGACATATTTGATGTACCTGTTTATTTTATATGAAGAATTTCACAGAATAAATCCTAAAATGGGAATAAGAAGATAGATTCCCTAGTCTGTAATGTAAAGCAATTAACATTTTCTCTGAGCCTATTTTTTTTTCTGCATAAAATAAGATTATACTTAAGATCCCCTTCAAGTTTGAAAATGGTCTATCTCCAGTCAGGTTTGTTTTCTCTTAAATCACTCATTTATTCAGTACAAACACATATCAATACAGAATTTTTTAAGCAACTACAAATGTTCCATGATACAGAGAGAGCTTATCTAATTTATCCTTTATTGCCAGTACTTATCATAGGGCCAAGCATATGGTCTTCAATAAACAAATAGTCTTTGTTAATTATTTAAAAAAATATTCAGTGCCTATTTTGAGCTAGGCATTCTGAGAAAGACTATAAATGTATTAGAGGGTGATAATAGCTATAAAGGAAATATTCAGAGCAAAATGTAGAGAATATGGGTAGGTATGTGTGTGTGCTTACCTGTGCATGTATGTATATGCAGTTTCAATAACATTTGAACTGATACAGGAAGGATGAGAAGGAGCCAGATTTTCATAAACCTGGAGGAATCACATTTTATGCAGAATTGATATCTGGGTTAAGGCCCCCAGTTGGGCAAGTACGTGGCAAGTTGGGAGGTTAGAAAGCAATCAGTGTGGCTGAAATATAGTACGCAAGGAGAGAGAAGTATGAAATCA